GGGGGCAATATGCTGACTCTGTAAACCGCTTAGAGAGGGCTGAAAGCCCTATGAAGCGGTATATAAGTCTAACTGCTATTGCTATTGCTATTTGTAACCCAAGGATTTGTTTGACTGAATCACTTTAAATGAACGTGATCACTCCCTGCTTTCCCCAATGCATTTGTTAATTGAATGCGCATGAGGTATCTCAGAGTGGGGAAGAGCATGCGGGGCCTAGTGCTGGAGCAGGCCATCCAAGGCCTCCCCCAATCCACTGAGATACCTCATGCTCCCCTGAGGTCCCCACAATTGCTTCCCCCCCATCCTGCCCCATCGGGACTCCACAGACTGGGCCTGCTGTGCCCAACCCCATTTCTCATGGATTACTTACTTTTTGAAGAGCTCCAGAAGAGGCTGACACCCTAGGAGAAAAGCCAACGTGTTTTGTTCAGATGATGGCAATCTGTAAGAACGTGAAATCTAAGGAAAACATTTTCACCAGCTTCTGACTAAAAGACTTCAACTGGGTCCATGTGGCCAGTAGGCCTAGTCCTGGACTGGGCCACAGTAGCCTCCTGCTGCTGATTGAGGCAGCAGCAACAGCCAGTCAACAAGGAGGTTGTTACCTTTGTCTCATCGGCCCGAACTGCAAGCCCCTTGTTGGTTGGTTGCTACACCTCAATACCTGAAGCTGCTCATTCGAACTAGCCAGTCAGCAGCAAACAGGAGACTGCTCATTGCCTGCCAGACTGGGCCCAAACTAAGCCTCCAGGCCCTCATGGCAGAGAAGCCGATCTTTTATTCAGATGGGGAAAGCCATTTCTCAGGCCTGCAGCCAGTTTCTTTTAGGATCTTTGGCCTGCCACACTAATTCTTTTCTACTATGCTGTTTCATTAGTGGGGAATTGGGAGGGGGAATAGTAAGGAGTAGAATGTGTTTGGATATTTGGAACTGACATCATTTTCCTTACATCTCACCTTTGTACAGCTTCATGGGCTTCTGAACAAAAGACTTTGGCTTCTCTGCCATGTGGGTCAGTCTCTTCTGAAGCTCTTGTCAGGTTCTAAAGACAACATCAATAATCACAGGGGGAGTCCTAGGACCTCCTTTGTTGTGGCGTCATTTTAAACTTCCTGCAGCCCGCAGCGAGACGAGCTGCTCCCTCTGAGATGTCACAGCTGCTTGTCAGCTTTAGGACAGCATGCTGTAGAAACACTGCTGCTTCCTTGCTGGCCTAGGAGGTGTGTCTGTGTCATTGCCACCACTGCGCTCTCCCCCAAATGACAGCTCCGGGCCTGTCGGTGTGCCAAAGCTGACATGCGCCCCCCCCACCACCACGGAGACAGCATCTGGAAGACAAAAAGAGACGGTGAGTGGATGGAGGCATAATACCACCCCCACCCGGGGTGAACCGGGGCCTCGAAGCCGTTAGGGACTGGATGAGGGCTAACAAGCTTGTACTCAACCCGGAAAAGACTGAGTG